GAAATGAGATGGAACAATCTGATACTCAACCACCTGGACTCCCTGAACTGGCAACAAAAGAGGATCTGGGAAAAATGAAATCAGAAATAATTTCTCACGTAAAAGCAGAGATTGTGCCCATACTGCAAGACATGATCAATAAATTGAGAGAAGACACAGATTAAAAAAACAGAGGAGCTGAGGAACATGATGGAATCCCAACATAGGAAACAAATGCAATCCATAAAACAGATGCAAACAGATATCTAGCAAATTAAAAACTCCATTGAAAGTCTACGCAGCAGAATGAGCCAATGTGAGGACACAATTTCAGATATAAAAGATAAGATTGCAATTAGTGAACAAGAAAAGAAAAATTTCTTTAAAATAGTAAGGGACCATAAGAAATCAATCCAGCAGCTGCTAGACAATGCAAAGAAGAATAACATAAGAATGATCAGAGTCAATGAAGAAACAGGAGAGAATGCACATGAAATTAAAAAAACTGTTCACAGAAGTGATGGCAGAAAACTTCCCAAGCAGGGGAAAAGAACTTGACATACAGATAAGTGAGGCATGTAGGATTCCAACTGGCCTTGATCAAAACAAATTCTGCACACAGGCATATAATAGTTAAGACTCCAGAAACCCAACAGAAGAACAAAGTTCTACATGCAGTTAGAGAAAAGAAACAAATCACATACAAAGGAAAACCCAGCAGAATCACAGCAAACTTCTCAATGTAAACCCTCAAGGCAAGAAGAGCTTGGAGTGATGTATTTCAAGCCCTAAAGGAAAACAACCTCCAACCTCCTAGACTGATGTACCCTGCAAGACTATCTTTCAAAATCGATGGAGAAATAAGATACTTTCATGACAAAAAGCACCTTAGGAACTTCAGGAATACCAAACCAGCACTCCAAAATATTTTAAACAATATCCTAGGAAAAGACCACAAGGATCACAACCCCAGGAAGCCCAGCAGAATGAATCCACTAGGTACGACAAAAAATTAAACTCAAAGGGTGAGAATCCAAAAAAAGAAAAAGACATGACAATGATAGGTCAGAACTTATCAGTTATGACAATCAATATTAATGGTCTCAATTCAACAAACAAAAGAAACAGGCTGGCAGAAGCAAGATCCAACAATATGCTGCATACAAGAAACACACTTAATTTAAAAACAAACTCATAGACTGAAAGTTAAAGGGTGGAAAACAATACTCCATGTGAGGGGAACCAGAAAAAAAGCACAAGTAGCTATTCTCTTTGCAGATCAAGTGGATTTCAAAGCAACATTGATTAAGAGAGGTAAAGAAGGACACTACATCATTGTAAAGGGAATAATCCAAGAGGAAGAGATGACAATCATAAACATATATTCACCAGAAACAAGTGTCCCCAATTATATAAAACAAATATTAACAGACATGAAAAATCAAATAAGCGTTAATATAACAGCAGTAGGGGACCTCAATAAACCACTGTAACAAATAGATAGATCAACTAGACAAAAAACAAGCGACAAAATACTAGAACTCAATGAAACTCTTGAACAAATGAACTTAACAGATGTTTACAGAATGTTCCACAACCACAAAATCAGAATACACATTCTTTTCAGCTGCACACGGGTTTTTCTCCAAAACAGACCACATACTTGTGCATAGAATGTTTCAGTAAGTGCAAAGGAATTGAAGTTATCCCCTGTATATTATCAGACCATAGTGCAATGAAATTGGAGATCCATAACAAAAGAAATTCAAAAAATTTCATAAACATGTGGAAATGGAACAACACACTTCTGAATAA